TCTCTTTCCCGTTACAAACACCATCAATGAGATAAGTTATGTATCACTCTAGATACACAGCACCGCCAACTCTTTGAAGTGAGCAACCATGAAACAGCCTTGCATCACTTGCACTCGTCTCCTTCAGCTTCTTCTTTATAGAACTCACTGAAAATCACTTCACTGACTTGTATCTCAATATTCCACCTTAGTGTCGTCTCTGATTTTTCTCAGAAAACCCTGCAACTTTCCTCTGACCAACAACAAGCGTCAAACCACATGTAAAAACATGTTCACTTCACCCATATACTTCCACAAAAAAAGTAAGATGCATCAAGATTGTAAGCTTAAGGTAAATAAACTAGTAATTACCCTTCTGTATAGCTTTTCAGGAGTCTCAACTTTCTGATGGCTACCACCTGCATCAGCGATAACATGGAAGCAGAGATGGAAATTTTCAAAATACATTAAATTGCAAGTTCAAAAGAAAAGCGACTACCTTTTGAAGTAGTGTCACGTTTTGCATTCACGACGTTGTTTGATTCTGTTTCAAGTAGATCAAAACACTGAGCCAAAAGAATCGCAAAACCGAAAAAAACGAATAGTCAAGTTCTAAACTAAACTACACACCTGAGAGTTTCTATACACCTCAGGCTTAGACTCATTCTCCGCCATCCTCCTCTCAAAGAAACTCTCCTTCCCCGCAGCCTCCAGATGCGACGTCGTGTAAACATCTTCTGACGACCTCGACTTCCCCCTTACACCACCACCTCCTCCTCCTCCTCCCCTAAAATCATTCTCCGATTGATTTCATCTCCCCAAGCATCCCATCCCCCTCCACCACCACCGCCATAAGCCAACGGAGACTCCGTACTCATCGCCGCAATTGGTGACGGCTCCGTGAAGATCTACGTCGTCGAGAAGAAACCGTGAGAAAGAAAAGGAGGTAGATTTAGGTTTATTTAACTAAGGGTACTATAGTCTTTTTCTTATCAAAATTTTGAGTGTAAAGTTGGTTAATGCAAAAGTGAAATATGGTATCATCAAAGTGCTAGTTTTAGCAATTTCCCAAAGAGAAACCAAGTTAAAATTTTAATAAATTTGAGACTTTGTTTGTTTTAGTTAAATTGAAAAATCTTTTTGTTAATTTAAATGATAAATATGAACAGATAAATTTAAATAATATTTAAATATTTAACTATCAAATTGTTTTTGGATTAGTGTTACTTTATTTAGTTTATTTTTATTAATGTGAGATACATATATATTATTATTATTTTTATTGTGATAAATGAAATATTAAAATATGTTATAGTTTACCATAAATAAATATTTATACGGAAATTTTACATCTCACAATTAAAGATGATGTCATGTCATCTTTTTAAGTGCTATGTCATATTTTTTTTCAGCGAGAAAGATTGTAGAGATGACATATGTCAAAATCACTTCTCAAATATAGTCTAGGGGATTGGTATAGTGATCTCTATAATATTATTTGAGAAGTCAGTTTCCTACGTGTCACGCTCACGTTAACTCTCGCGGTAGTTGATTACATAGATACCGGCCCTTAGTGAATTGTTAGATTTTAAGATTATTATTAATTTTTTTTATTTAGTTTATTTTTTTACCTTTTTCCAAATAACATATATAATAAAAAGGAAATATTTCTAAAATTTTAAAACGAAAATATATGTATATATTATGACTTTATTAAAAAGGAAAGTTCACAAAATAGTAATACTCCCATTAATATATTGTTTTAAATAACATAAAATATATTTACAAAATAATAAAAATATATATGTTCATGAATATTCAAAAATTTATCAGTTACACTTTATTTTCTAATATTTTTTAGAAATAAACATATAATTTGATAAATATTATGAAAATACATGTATATTTAAGCGATAAATAAAACTAATTTGATTTGACTTAACTAAAATAAAAAGTAAATAAATATTATGAAAATACATGTATATATAAGCGCTAAATAAAACTAATTTGATTTGACTTAACTAAAATAAAAAAT